GACATTTGATAAAATGGTCACTAGTTATTTGATCACAGTGGGAACCCTTGCTTTGCTCTCCTTCTACCCTGCTTAGCTTCCACTCTTCTTATCGCTGTCTTTAACTTTCCTCTTTCTTATTTGTTAAGTATTTCATTTTGTCAATCCAGTAATCAATTTCGTCTCTATTTCTTTCTTTAAATTCCTTTCTAACACTGTATAAAAGGGTAGAGAATGTACAGTAGGTCTGAAATCAAAGCTCTCCCAAGCAGACTTTGTACCGTTCACTTAAAGCTGGGGTTGATAGACTTGAGAAACTAGCAGGAGTACCCTTGGTTTTTCAAAATCATATAACTGAAAAAACCCAACTAACCCTTCCCCAGTGAAAGTAGATAGCAGCACTAGCTCCAAAAGTCACTAAATCTAGCGAGAAAATGGCCAAGTAAGCAACATTGACACCCCATCCTTTCAGGCCTCCCTCCAAAGCCACTTTCCCAAAAATGATCATCATAAATATATCTGTATTAAAATGAATGTAAACAACAAACATGGCTATTGTTAGGACTCTGTCAAGCTACCCGCTTGTGGACGACTCATGTGACAGGCAGTGAGAGCACAAGCAGAATACGTGCAGGCAGGCAGGTAGCCCGTCCAATCATTATTTTAAGGCTGAAAGGAATGATTGGACAGACTTACTATAGTCCTGCAACAGCATTTTTTTTGTAAGAGCATTCGATTCATTTAACGCTGTCTGGATACAAGGGGATTACCAACTGTAGCTCTAATTTCATCAATTTTACAATAAAAACAAAGTTGTTTCCACAATTTTAAATTCAGTGGCTTGGGATTTGTGAAGCTGTGCGCTTATCGGTTGATGTGAGGTAGCAAGATATGACTTACAGTTTGTCGAGCAGTTCAGAGGGTTGCTAAGGTTGGCAGAGGAATAACTGTGTGGTAGAAGATGAGCACTGAGACGTGTGCTGCTCACTACTCGAGCCTACAGTAACAACAACCTGAATTAAAGTCTAATTTGAGCCTGGGGGGCCACATGAGAAACCCGGATTGCTACTGGTGGCACAACAAATATTGTCAGTCATAACCTCTAATGTTATCGGTAGATTATATCATAGAAAACATACTGTGCACTTATTTCTTAGCATTTATTAAAAAATCACTCCAAACAGCATTTTATTAAGAAAATATACGTTATATGCTGGAGTTTCTTTTTTAACCTACTGTACAGGACCAAACTAAACAAAACAAAAAATAACTCCGCATGCCAAAAGTAAAATATACATAAAGCAAGGTTTATAATTAAAACCAACCATTTGACATGTAAATCCAAACTAGTACACCCCCTGCACTATCGCCTGACCTATACATACATGCACTTGTTATTTTTTCCCACAATTTATGAGAAACACAACAACTGTGGATTGTCGATGCCCAAAATTGGAGGAGACAAATTATTTGTTTATAAGCACAGCACATTCAAACAAAGCAGATGCAGTCAAGGACACAAGCCATCCTGTACTCCTGTGTGTATCTTTGACAACTAATCCCAAAGTGCATTAGTCTTTATTCGACAGTCTTTTAGACTTCAGCAGTAAGATCTTTGTGATACAATTTACAATCCATGGTAGTTTTGCCAACTTAGTCAGATGCCAAGTCTCTGATGTGCTCGAACTAGGGAGTCAAGACTTGTTAAACACTCGACATTAGCCGTCAATCTTATGCTTTTTAGACCTCATTTGTAGCAGGTGACTCCAAATTACACCTCCATCAACAAATCTCCGCTCGCAAAACCTGACGATCCTGAGCAGGTGACGTTATGACTTAAAACATAACATGATAATTCCATTCGACTTTTTAAGCTTCATGAATAAAGTTGCGTGGTTTGTCTTAGAGTTGTCGAGCCAGGCTGAACCGTCACGAGGGCCGGTTTCCCCCGGGGAAGAAACCAATTCATTGCTGTAAGCCATGCATGTTGTTATTTACCAACCAGCTTTTTCCGAACCTGGTTGATAAATGAACTTGTTTTTGTTTTCACTGTTTTTACTTCCATTGTGCATGAAGGTGATATGTAGAATAAACGAGCGGATAAATCAACGAGGATAATGAGGACCACATCTGTGTGCCGTCACACTCGAATGCCACATTGCACCACGATGATAAGCTGGAATAGAAAAAACACACTTTCCCTCATCCATCTGTATTATTCTCATGCAAATGAATATCAAATGGATTCTAAATTGCTTGTGTTGGATGCTGGTCGGAAACGAGTCATTTCATCAGGGCTGATTACATTAGGATTTTAATTGTCCTGCCATCTTGAGTCACTTAATTGTAATCATGCTCAACACCAACATGATGCCACTGTGGTGCCATGAGTCTAGTCTCTCAAGTCACAAGTTTGACTTCTACTTAGTGAAGCCCTGATTTCTGTAGCTTTTGTGTATATTAAGTAGAAAGTACAGTTTTTAAAATACACACACAAACAGCTTTCTTTGACATTTTAGCTGCCATAACCGTGACGTCTTTTCTCTGGTCTTTAGTGTAATAACTTTCCATGTCCTCTCGAGAGTCAACCGTTTTCTTTGACATTTTAGCTGCCATAACAGTAACGTCTCATCTCTGGTTTAATTTTAAAGGGCAAACCTGTCCCAGTACGTTCTTCCCACTTGAGTCTTGGTTTCTTCCCAAGATATCAGTGTAGATATTTTGCAGCCCCTGCAGACTAATGGAGAACAGGCACACTAACATACGCATTGCGTATTTATTCCAATGACGGATACACTGGATCTAACTACATCACACCTTTCTTTATTTTATATAAAATGGCAGTAGGGCCACCCTTTGCCATGCAAACAGCTCGACTCTTCATTGAATTTTCAGTCACAGAGGTCCTGCACTGTGTGTCGGGGGACATTAGATCATTCTTGAAGGAAAGCCTCCAGTTCTTTAAAGGATGAAGGAAGTGAACATCTTTAGATGTGGTGACTGGGGAGGCCATTGTTGGCTTTTAGCCTCTTTTTGGTGTTCATGAACGAACTCTAGAGCTATCATTGGATTTGAATATACCATTACAGATCAACAAGTTGGCAACAGACGTGTGTGTATCTGAGGCATTCTCTGGCTCGCGATGACGTTTAGTTGTCTCAATCAGCCACTTGTTAGCAACCGCCTTTTTAAGACACTTGGAAGCTTTAAAAATGACAAGTGTGGTATTTGCTGACGTGTTTTATGTAGTAGAACAAACATTAAAATCACTCAAGCTTGTGTTAACCACAGACCTCATGTTAGTCTTGCGTTGGCCTTCATTGGTTTCTTTATTCCATTTCAACAATAAATGCTTACGCTACTTTAAGCAGTGTAAGTTATGTGGTGGACCGGTCACCATAGTTTCATTTTTCACAGTAACAAGTGTGAGGGTTGTGCGCATATAGTTGTGTACCCGAGCAGAAAACTTCATTGGAATGGGTTCATGAGGTACACAATGCAGACGGGAAAAGGGTGAGGGAGGAGGAGGTCAGGTGAAAACGAAGAAGTGTGTGTGTGTGTGTGTGTGTGTGTGTGTGTGTGTGTGTGTGTGTGTGTGTGTGTGTGTGTGTGTTTTTTTTGAGGATGCATGTCTTGTCCCTCCAAGTCCAACTGGCACGCTGACCTTTTACTCGGTTTGGTGGGAAAGCAGAGGGCACCTTAATTACCTTCACAACAACAACCGTTCTCGCCTTGCTCAGCCATGTGATGTCACGTAACCCACTGTGTACACATGTGTGCTCTATAGGTCTACATTGCACACAGAGACGGTATCTAACACTACTTGTGAAAGGTGACTTGGCCCTCTTGCATTAACCGACATGACAGTGTTGTACGTGTACAGTGTGTGCACAGTTGTTGTCATTTCTGAACCCCAGTATTGAGATTTTACAATTTTGAGCTATGGACAGGGAATGCATCATTTTGACTTTTCAGCATGTGTCGCTTTAGGGATGGCTCTGTTGGTCCATCGGTCTGTCCACTATTGTAGTCCAGACTTAACTGAAATTAAAATTAGAATAAACTTTTGGATTGATAGCCTTTGAAATTTGTGTTGACATCACGGCCATTTCTTGTTGCCCGTCATTTTGACGGACAGTGTTGCAAAAATTCCGTCATTTATTATCAGCCGTCATTAAATTCAGCGAATATATCTTCACAGAAAAAAGTGTTCATATACAGCTTTGTAACGAACAAAGTGGATCGGACTGAGCCACTCCGATCAGCCCTAGTGGCTGTACCTAATGTCATGTTTGGAGAGCTTTGTTCTGCAGTGCAGCCTCAGCTGTCCGTGCTGGACCCACAGTGGCCAACGAGCTGTGTGCACTCCGCTCACCTGGGACTTGATCCCGGTTATAGGAAAGAGACTGCTGCTCTCTGCTCCCCCTCTTTGCACCTACTAGGCTTCTAATGACACCATACTCACAATCATTCCAGGTCCTGCAATGATTGTTTTTAAGAAATCTTACAAGCTATTATTTTTCTGCTTTTCCTCACTATATATTTTTTCACCCACCTGCAACACATCTACTGTTAATCAGAAATGTTAATTTTCATCTCAACGCTTCAAGTGAGCGGCACGACTCTTGCACACAAAAAACAAGGTGCTGCCTGTGAAGATGAAGTAATTGCTAGCAGGGCACCTGTGTTTCCTGATTATATGTGTGTGTGGGTGGCTGTGTCAGGACATGCCACATAACCCTTGGATCAATGGTTGGGAAAATGTGGAAGGGAAGAGAATAACTATCTTTTCAGTGACTACTGTTAAGTGTCTCTTGGGCGGGACACTTAACCTTCTCTGCTCCACTGGGCGTGCTTCGGTTGCCAGCAACAGCAGAGTGTAGTTTATTTTTGAATAAAGATGTAATGTGGTTTTGTAAAGCATTAATAATGAACCCACTGTTCTGATCCACTGGTGTGATCCATGAATGATCCACATGAGTGATGTGAGGATAACGTGTGTTCTGTGTCTCCTCCCCCAGATGAAGACTGTGAGTGTAGCGCTGGTGTTGTGTCTCAACGTGGGAGTGGACCCTCCTGATGTGGTCAAGACCTCCCCCTGCGCCAGACTGGAGTGCTGGATAGGTGAGTCCACACAGACACATGAATGCAAAAGGGTCATCAGGTAACCTAAAAATGCGAAAGGCCAGTGTTTGGTTTATTTGTTCAGCGCTACTGTAGAAACACGGCAGTGCAACATGGCGGACTCCGCTTCGTATGTATGTATAAACGGCTCATCTAAGTAACAAAAAGACAACTAGTTTCAGATGGTTATACACTAATGAAAACATAGTTATGAATATTATACTCTATTTTAGCCAATAAATCCTACTAACTGTTTCTTAAAAGATATGATGTGTACATTCTGAACTGTGCTGCCTGCTGCCTTTTCTCAGGCACAAGTGTTAAATTGTGTGATTGATGCAAATGCACAAACTCACTGTCTACGACTGGGGTCAAAAATAGCACTCCTTCTTTTGAACGTACCGGTATTAGAGATGCACCGATCGACCGGTTGTCGATAAGAGCGATTTTCAGCTGATCGTCCGTGTGCCCACGTGTGCTACTGCATAATCATTTTACGTGAATTACGCGAAGGTAGGTTATAATGCTATCAAGAATGTGTTCAAATGTAATCTTGTAAAATTTAGTGAGATTTTAATAAATACAATTGTTTGAAGGAGATATTATCAATTTACTTTAACTTCCTAATACTAGTACTTATCAGCTAATACATAACTAAAACTACAAATGCAGAGTTTTCTAGTAATCAAAGCAAGTATTGAAATAAAAGCCAGTCTAACGGCACCGTAAATGACATTAATATAAACACAATAACACAAAATCAGACGCATACTAGCATGTTTTTATCTTTTTTATAAACGCTACAACAATGCAGTGAAACAAAGAGAAAGCGGGAGAAAAAGAGACAAGGACTGAATATAGCGCAAAATTCACAACAGGTGTTACATAATTGCATATCGTTGTGTTATCGTGGACATGTGAGAACCTCACCTGTTTCAGTAGTCCTCTTCATCCTGAAAATAACAACATAAGATATGCCTAGTTAGGACATGTAGTGACTATATATCTATACTAAAAGCCTGTAAATAACAAGTGCAACAAGTGTAACAGCTTAGGGTTGTTGGGTGGTGGTAAAGCATGCAATACTAGTGTGAGCTGAAAGTTGATAGTAAAAGTTAGCTGTTACTTTGTAACATTTAGGAACATTCTCATGGGGACTCAATTCATAAGGGCTCTGTCAACTAAGGATGAAGCAGTCTGCCCCCACCCACCAGAAGCACACAACATGACACAGAACAAAAACAAAAGTAACATCTCGGTTGAATGGGAAAACCTCAAAACCATTGTTGAGCTCCTCTGAGACTGCTTGACTTTTTGGAGTGTGGAGAACACATAAAAGAAGGAGCTCAGTTCAAAGTTTCTGAAACTTTCTCGGTGGCTGCTGAGAACGCTGACATTGTGCAGACCTGCCACTTGGTTTTTGAGACGGTGTTTGAGACATTTAAGTGATAATGGCAATCCTTAAATACACCGTGTTGTTTAAGTGAAATACATAAAGCAACAGCTACATGTTAATAGAAACACGCACATCTACTTTTCAGTGGCAGTGGTGTGTGTGAAAACCTTTTATATACTGGCATCGTTTAAATTTCATAATAACAACAATTGCAGTGTTATGTGCCATATATAGGAACCTTAAAGCTGCCATTTCTGATAGATCAGCAAACGCATCTTTTCTTTTTGTTGTGATAACACATCTACATAGGCCTTGTTCATCATAAGGGCAGTGGTTTAATTTTCAGCATACAGCTTACCGGTATCTGCCGACACATCCTTCTCTGCCTGCTGAGCGCAATTTGAGCTGTCCTGAATTTATATTCTGCTATTCTTCATGCCATATTGATTTACTCTCATCATTATGTCAACCTCAGAGGCTACTGCTTTTTCTCTCCAAACTCTGCTGTTGATTTAACCAAGAAGTAATCCTTTGATGCTGAGATTATAAACTTGCCTCTATAATCATGGCATGGAAGTGTTTTGTTACTCGAATATTGATAAATTGATTATTTGGATGACTTCATTTTACTGGAACCAATTGATGGCAATGGAAATGTGTGTGGTGAATAATATAATTATGTTTGATTTGTCAGCTCCAGATTGAACGAGAGTGTTTTTGCTCTGCTGTGACTGTCGTGTGCGATCGCAGTGTGTTTACACTCTGTGTTTTCTTGCCAGATCCTCTGTCGATGAGTCCACAGAAAGCCCTGGAGACCATCGGGGCCAATCTGCAGAAGCAATACGAAAATTGGCAACCCAGGGTGAGTCGGTTCACATGAACCAGCCTCCCTCCTTCTCTTGAACGTGCTTATGATACATAGACCGCATCCACTAACTCATTCACACCACTGTAAGATGCATACAGAGTTTAATCAAATAAGGCTTCCAATAAAACACTTAGAAATTTAAAAAAATGTAATTATATGCATTCCAAGACTTGACCGTGGTCATATCATATTATTACTTATGGGTTTTTGGCTTCCATTGAGCCATTCTCATGTTTTTTTCAACAATGTTTCAGAGATTGTTTTATATACAGTTGTGTGAAAAAGTGTTTGCCCCCTTCCTGATTTCTTATTTTTTTGCATGTTTGTCACACTTAAATGTTTCAGATCATCAAACAAATTTAAATATTAGACAAAGATAACACAAGTAAACACAAAATGCAGTTTTTAAATGAAGGTTTTTATTATTAAGGGGGAAAAAAAATCCAAACCTACATGGCCCTGTGTGAAAAAGTGATTGCCCCCTAAACCTAATAACTGGTTGGGCCACCCTTAGCAGCAACAACTGCAATCAAGCGTTTGCGATAACTGGCAATGAGTCTTTTACAGCGCTGTAGAGGAATTTTGGCCCACTCATCTTTGCAGAATTGTTGTAATTCAGCCACATTGGAGGGTTTTCGAGCATGAACCGCCTTTTTAAGGTCATGCCACAGCATCTCAATCGGATTCAGGTCGGGACTTTGAATAGGCCACTCCAAAGTCTTCATTTTGTTTTTCTTAAGCCATTCAGAGGTGGACTTGCTGGTGTGTTTTGGATCATTGTCCTGCTGCAGAACCCAAGTGCGCTTCAGCTTAAGGTCACGAACAGATGGCCGGACATTCTCTTTCAGGATTTTTTGGTAGACAGCAGAATTCGTGGTTCCATTTACCACAGCAAGTCTTCCAGGTCCTGAAGCAGCAAAACAGCCCCAGACCATCACACTACCACCACCATATTTTACTGTTGGTATGATGTTCCTTTTCTGAAATGCCGTGTTACTGTTACGCCAGATGTAATGGGACATACACCTTCCAAAAAGTTCAACTTTTGTCTCGTCAGTCCACAGAGTATTTTCCCAAAATCTTGGGGATCATCAAGATGTTTTCTGGCAAAACTGAGACGAGCCTTTATGTTCTTTTTGCTCAGCAGTGGTTTTCGTCTTGGAACTCTGCCATGCAGGCCATTTTTGCCCAGTCTCTTTCTTATGGTGGAGTCATGAACACTGACCTTAATTGAGGCAAGTGAGGCCTGCAGTTCTTTGGATGTTGTTCTGGGGTCTTTTGTGACCTCTTGGATGAGTCGTCGCTGCGCTCTTGGGGTAATTTTGGTCGGCCGGCCACTCCTGGGAAGGTTCACCACTGTTCCATGTTTTCGCCATTTGTGGATAATGGCTCTCACTGTGGTTCGCTGGAGTCTCAAAGCTTTAGAAATGGCTTTGTAACCTTTTCCAGACTGATAGATCTCAATTACTTTGTTTCTCATTTGTTCCTGAATTTCTTTGCATCACAGCACGATGTCTAGCTTTTGAGGATCTTTTGGTCTACCTCACTTTGTCAGGCAGGTCCTATTTAAGTGATTTCTTGCTTGAGAGCAGGTGTGGCAGTAATCAGGCCTGGGTGTGGCTAGAGAAATTGAACTCGGCTTTCTAAAGATGTGATAAACCACAGTTAATTTATGTTTTAACAGGGGGGGGGAATCACTTTTTCACACAGGGCCATGTAGGTTTGGATTTTTTTTCCCCCTTAATAATAAAAACCATTTAAAAACTGCATTTTGTGTTTACTTGTGTTATCTTTGTCTAATATTTAAATTTGTTTGATGATCTGAAACATTTAAGTGTGACAAACATGCAAAAAAATAAGAAATCAGGAAGGGGGCAAACACTTTTTCACACAACTGTATGTTGGCAGACTATCCAGAGTATCTGATTTTTGCCAACTCTGTGAACCTTACTAATGGTAGTCACCCTTCCCAGTACTTTATCATAAGGTCTTTTAACACACAGTGGCTTCTGTTGATTCTAAACGTGTTTTCTTTGGATATCACTTCAAAGGCATCTGTTTCTAGTCTCTGGGTTCAAGTGCTACAAACACAATCCCGTGCAGATCATTCCTACGTAATGCTGTGAGAACTTGGCAGACAAAACATTGTGATGTATGTGAGAAAGACAGTGACTGCAGCTGTCATGGTAACTCTGTGCCTCCTACGTTATTCCCTGTGTTTACCTTTAGTAATCATTTGAATATGTAATAGGGTGAATGGGTTTATTATAGATATTCAATTCTATCAGCTTTAATGGACTTCCTTTATGCATTTTTCCAACAAAGCACAGATGCATCATTTGTTCTTGTAAATTCAGCTGTTAGAAGTGTATTTGTTTACATGCATTCATATCATTGCCAGCAGTTGCAGCTGTTTGCGAGCTCAGTGTTTTCCCAGAGGCTACTGGGTCTGTTGGAAAAGACATATTTTGCTGAAGAAAAGTCTGAATTGTGCTCTAAAACTAGGGAAGAAGGAAAAGATCATAACTGCTCGGGCTACAGGAAATCTTATCTATGCAGATGACTGCCCACATTCTAAGTGGCCAGTGTTTTATAGCGCTTTTGTAGAGTGCTGCAAGAATGAGTCCTAAAAGCCCGTAAATGAGTTTGCATTGTTGCTCTTCCAATTCTCTCAGCTCAAAGTCGGTGGGATTTTTGAATGGGCTTTTGGTCAGATGCCCGATTTTAACATTTATTCTACGACAGAATATGTTAGTAAATACCCCACTTGTGAATTTTGAAGCTTTTACGTTAAAAAGGCTAAATCATACTACTCAATGTCATCGCGCTGAACACTAGTCCACCTTTAGCTTTGTGGTGGTGACATTAAGTGCGACTGTTGTTGCACTTATGACTTCTGGTGACTAATAGTTCTCTTGAATAGTTATGTTGAATACACTTATTGTAAGTCGCTTTGGATAAAAGCGTCTGTTAAATGACTGTAATGTAATGTAGTGTAGTTCATTTATAGCCTAAAGTCAGCTTTTTACTTCTGACGATCGTGTTTACGCTTCAAATATCATAAAAAGTGGAGTTAATTTGTGGAGATTATATTGCTGAACAAACTTGGAAGTTTAATAAACATTTGTTTGCCACAGAGCTACAGTACATGCCGAGGTGGCCTGGTTCACATAAAGCTCAGAACTCGGTGAGATCAGGACAGCGTACGGGTAGAATCCGAACAGTTTATCAAACGTACGTCCTGCTTCCTCTTCCTCTCCCGAGCAAGAGCAAATGGGAGGAGAGGAGAACAACTGTTCCGATCTGGCGCATCCGATCACAAAATTCCCATTGAAAAGTGTCACCACAACTTTTGTCCCACTGGCTCCTCAAATTCAAGACGTTTCTAGCTGAATGAGACACACACACATGACAGGGATTGTTACAAACAGCAGGGAGACCTCACACACCTCACTGAAGCTCCTAAGTGAATGTGAAAGTTACCACTTGAGGATCCACCATGAGCATATTAGCATTTAGTATTTAACCACACCTAGCATACACCTGTTGATCACGCAACATCTGTTCTATCTGGGTCACACCACCTGCAAATATGTTTTATATCCGGTCAGAAAGGATTGGATTTAATCATGCCTTTTCTTCTGTTGAGACTTTGTAACAAAATCTCTTATTAGTATTAGAAAGTAAGATCTTCGCTGTATGTGGGACGGGTTGATGATGATGGAGGGTTCTTTTAAAGCAGGTCTAGAGGCAGAGCTGAAGGGCAGAAGGTGAAAAAGATACAAGTTGGTGAGGACAACTATAGTGGCATCGTAGCTGGTGAGTTGCCACAGCGTCAAAGTGGATATCATCTTGTTGCTTGGAACTGTAGAGCGCTCCACAGCCATTTAAAAACGGCTTATAATGAGGATGTGAAAGTAAAAAACACAAACAATGTTTGGCTGTTTGGTAAGATAGTACAGAAGTAAAACATGCGGTAAGAGGAGGTGGAGGAATGGACGTCTCTGGAGAGAGCAGCCAAAGGAATGTAGGCTCGGTTGACCCTGGAGGTCAGCAGTGAATGGTGATGGGAGTGCAGGAGGAGGAGTGGGAGGGTGAGAAAGCTGTTCCTTTTTTCAGCCTGAGGATTCACAGCTCTGCAGCATCTCACCACAGAGCTGCGTTCGCCAACACACCTTACATAAACTGATGACAAAGCAATCAATTACACACCAGCTATTTACCTGCTTGGCCACTGCAGTGAGAAATGTTGTTACAAGTTCGTTTTCGGTGGGTGGAGTTGCTAAACATTAGACCTAAGAACAAATGTTAAATCTATTTTGTCACATTTTCCTTGTGTTGGGATGCAGTTGAGCTGCCCAGAGGGTTAAGCTGTGCCAACCTGCCATCACGAATCCATTTCTGAACTCTCGCATTAACTCTCATGGCCAGAAAACACTGTGAAAGGCAAACACAGTCTTTGCTTTTGTCCATTCACTTTCTTTACCAACACTACATCAATATATCTACCTCTTGTTGGCTTGAAGTTAAGAGCTCTGACAGCAGATTGTCCAGCAGTCTCTGTGATGAAACCCAACTTAAATTAGCTCAGTGAACCGGATACAGCTCATCTTCATAACACCAGAAGTTCCTTTATTTTATACTTGTATACATGTTTTGACCTTTTTAGGAGATTTGCATCATTGATAGATATGACAGAACAAGCAGTCATAATCCAGTGGACCCTTTATATCACAATTACAGTATATGTGTGTGATTGCACTGCAAAGATTCAAGAAACAAACACAAGATAAATCAAGTATTAATTAAAATAAAAAAGTTATTGGTACTAAAAATAAAAAAGTTCCTAATGTCTACTTATGAATGACATTAGCAATCAAGATGGTGGAAGGATAGAAAGGATAGATTCTCCACATAATTACTGAAGGGAAACTAGACTCGTTGAGATTTTAAAGTAATACATTTAAGGTGATCCTCAATTTGAAGACGGATCA